CCCCCCCCCCCCCCCCCCACACACACACACACAAACACATTCAAACAACCAAACCTCTTCTTTTGCTATTTCTCCCCCTTCTGTGCTCACCAAACACGATTGGAGAGAAACAAGAAAGAACTCACACATTTCAGCACTCTTACACATGACATGTACATAGCTCAGCGACAGTGCAACTGCCCAAAACAACAATAAGAGTGAGGAACATAAACCTCCAAGTTTCTTTTTACTCTCGACTCATGACCACCTCTCATAAAACCCGAATGAGACAATGCCCTGGCATGTTTTGCCTTCTACGAAACATAGCAGGCAGAGAAATCATTGAGCAGCAAACCGGACTCTTCGCGATTGGCAAGACGTTAATTAACGAAATTTAATCTCGGCTGTTTGATCACTGTGTTTTCGACCGGGAGAGAGCATAATATTTCAATTGTGGGACAGACCTTGTTCGTGTGATTACAGCTATACTACCAAGACCGATTCAGTGGGATTTTTATACAACAAGCATCATTGATATATATATACCATAACCATATTTTAACATAATATTTTAACAACCATAGACGAAATTCCAGTTTTAATTCGAGGACAGCAGCTGACACTGACAAGACAGACGTTCGAGAATGGATCATAATAAAAGGAGGAAAAGAAAAAGTTCAGAGACCAAATCGGGAGAGAAATCGGACACTTCTACTTCTGAGGAGAAATCGTCTTCGTCACCCTTTAAACAGCCAGCCAGGGCCCAGGCACGGTAAGTTCACATTATAATATGTATATTATGTTATTTTATGACTATAGGGAAAATGGTTGTCTCGTACTAATTTGACATACATTTTTTCTATTATATTCGTCGACAGATGATTCATATCCTTTCACTTGTATACACACACACAAACAAACTTACTCACACACACACACACACACACACACACACACACACACACACACACACACACACACACACACACACACACACACACACACACACACACACACACAAACACACTCTCTGTCTCTCTCTGTCTCTGTCTGTCTCTCTGTTTGTTTGTCTGTCTGTCTGTCTGTCTGTCTGTCTGTCTGTCTGTCTGTCTGTCTGTCTGTCTGTCTGTCTGTCTGTCTGTCTGTCTGTCTGTCTGTCTGTCTCTCTCTCTCTCTCTATTCCCATTCTAATTTTTTCTCGCACACAAACACACACTTGCGTGTGCACATCCAGTTCTGGAAAACAGCTTTCCAGGGTATACATTAGACTATACATATCACGTTTTCCGGAGATTAAAAAAAGACACCTATGAATTTCCGTAAATGGATAAATAATTCTAGATCTAGAATCTAGATCTAGAATCTTTGTGATTCAGCAGACCTATGTCATGTGTAGAGACATCATTCAACTCACTTTGGGGCTTTCAGCATTCAGTAACCTAGATCGTTTAAGATTCCATCTTTTTCATTCAGTTCAGTTTTAGTCTCTCTGCTCAGCAACATCATACCCTTGCAAAATTTATAAACTATTACATAGCCTCTATATATTTTTTGTTTTTATACACATGCGTGTGTGAGAGAGAGAGAGAGAGAGAGACAGAGAGAGAGAGAGTGTGTGTGTGTGTGTGTGTGTGTGTGTGTGTGTGTGTGTGTGTGTGTGTGCGCGCGTGTGCTGGGGAAAAAAAGATTAAAAACCCCCAGAAAATCTCTGCTAAATCAATGGACATGGCATACCTAATTCTAAACATAATATACAAGATTCTTTGGATCTAGACTCTAAGTGATGTGTTGAGACTTCCATTCGACTCACTTTACTACATACCTAGGTCTACATCGAAATTAGACATTAAGTGGCAATCTATACCATAGGCTAAGATTTCCAGATTCAGAGAGGAGGGGTGTTTGGTTTTGTGGGCTAGGAGGGGAAAGATATGGATGAAAGATGTTTGATAGGAAAGAAAGAGCAAATCATACCAGAACCCCGCCAACCATCTACGTTTTTTTGTGGTTTTATTATAATGAAGAGTAAAGTCTTAAAAGGGGACTGCAATCCACTTGCATAATTCCAATTATGGAGGCTGTCCCAAGTTAACGTGAAAATGACCATAGATTGAGAAGTTCTGATCTAATAACATCAAAGTACTCACACTGTTATCTATTTCTCATTGTTATTCCAGCGATAGTGCAACATGTGTTCACGGGAATAAATTATACTTTGCCTAAAATAATTCTAGTCATAAGATTGTCACCAATTCTTAGACAGACCTCCCACAGGGACTCATTATGTCTATATTTTGAAGTGTAAGATATTACTTTTTGAATATTCTCAGTGAGTATCTGTCGGACTCCACCCCGGCTGTAAATACGCAAGGTCACGTAAAAAGTCCACGGCTGAAAAGAGATCAACGCCCCTTCAACAGTTACAAGTTACCACCTGACTTTCGACCAAACCGTTCGACCATACTAAAGCATGCAAGACCCAGTAATGAACAGCTAATATCGGAAATAAAATCCAAATGCACATTGGATACACGTCGCCCTTTTTTAGAATTGGGCCTGCAACAACTGCAGCGACAGCAGCAACAGCAGCAGCAGCAGCAGCAGCAGCAGCAACAGCTACAGAAGGTGCACCACCACCAGCAGCAGCAGCAGCAGCAAGTTTATCAATCACACCAGGAACAAGAGCACCAGGATCAGGCTCATTGGCTACAAGCACATGCTGAACAAGCACAAAAGTATGCAAGCCCCAGTAATGAACAGCTGATAGAGGAAATCAAATGCGCAATGAATACACGTGGCCCTTTCTTAGGATTGGGCCTGCAGCAACAGCAACAACAGCAGCGACAGAAGCAACAGCAGCAGCAGCAACAGCAACAACAGCTACAGAAGGTGCAGCAACAGCAGCAGCAACAGCAGCAACAGCAGCAACAGCAGCAACAGCAGCATGTGAATCAATCACACCAGGAACAAGAGCACCAGGATCAGGCACATTGGCTACAAGCACACGCGGAACAAGCACAAAAGTATGCAAGCCCCAGTAATGAACAGCTGATATCGGAAATCAAATGCGCAATGAATACACGTAGCCCTTTTTTAGGATTGGGCCTGCAGCAACAGCAACAACAGCAGCGACAGCAGCAGCAGCAACAGCAGCAACAGCAGCAGCAGCAACAGCACCAGGATCAGGCACATTGGCTACAAGCACACACAGAACAAGCACAAAAGTATGCAAGCCCCAGTAGTGAACAGCTGATAGAGGAAATAAAACACAAATGGACATTGAATACACGTCGTCCTTTTTTAGGATTGGGCCTGCAGCAACAGCAACAACAGCAGCAACAGCAACAACAGCAGCAACAGCAGCAGCTACAGAATGTGCAGCAGCAGCAAGTGAATCAATCACACCAG